GCTAATGGATATTGTGGAGGGGTGCGGCATGTGGAGTGACGTCACCCCCTCATGGTTATTGGGGAGGGGTGCGGCATGTGGAGTGACGTCACCCCCTCGTGGTTATTGGGGAGGGGTGCGGCATGTGGAGTGACGTCGCCCAGACATGATTATTAATGAGGGGAGGGGTGCAGCATGTGAAGTGCACAACCTTGTGCGTGAGTGTAAATTTCCACGCGGGCATGAATATTAATGAAGGGGGGGGGGCCCTCTTTTGCAGTGACGTCACGCACGGATGTAGCACTGTGCTGCGTAGATTTATTTTTTACCGTCACTTTTTGTAAAGTAACGTCATATTTCTCTGCGTTAGTGTAAAATCCACCCACTCATGAATATTAATGAGGGGGCGGGCCTCATGTGGAGTGACGTAACGCGCGGGACGGACACGCATTTCTGGGTGATTATAGTAGGTAATTTTTCCACACAGTCTACAGACCCTTTAGCTATTTTTATGAAAAACTTCTGCTCTTTCCCAGTAGAAAGTTATCTGAATATTATTGGGTCTTTCGGTAAAGTCACGTAGATAGGTTCAAATAAAATAATCAAAAATAACAGACACTACGACGTTTCGATCGTAACACAAGCGGTCGTCTTCAGGAAAAGGGGGGTTAGCTTTCAATGAAAACTGTTTATAAAGGTTTGAAATGGGCGTAGCCCAAATGTCAGCAGCCAATGATAATGTAAGTGTTCGGCAGCGAGCCCGGCGGTGGTTTGTTTTCCACCAATCACAGGGCTGCCAGGTGAAAGTTAACATATTAAAGAGAGATTAGCATAGTAATAGGGTTTTACCCTTTTATCTGGCACAAAAACTGACACCTTTATACAAGGGATCATGTTTGCAATAACCACAACACAAGTAGTCAAAATGCAAACAAAAAAGACAACTCTGATAATATGCACTGTCCTTGAATTTGATTGGTCCACACCCGAGACGGCTTTTCTTAGTGTCCAGGCTCCACTGGTCCAACACCAGTGGAGACTGGGCTCTAACGGGTGTGGACCAATCAAATTCAAGGACAGTGCATATTATCAGAGTTGTCTTTTTTGTTTGCATTTTGACTGCTTGTGTTGTGGTTATTGCAAACATGATCCCTTGTATAAAGGTGTCAGTTTTTGTGCCAGATAAAAGGGTAAAAACCTATTACTATATCTTGTTACTGGCAAATGAGGTCTCATAATGTAATAGATTAGCATGTTAATAGAAGATCGCAGAGCCGCAACCAAGGGGACGGCGCGCTAAGTGACTGTGAAAGCGCAAGTTTGAAATGGGCGTAAAACAAAACTAACATCGGAAGGTGGTAGGATGGGAACATCATAGCCAATTATGACTTAAACTGGTTGATAACGTCTTTCCAATGATTGCTCAGTTTGTACCCATCTTCTCGGTTGAAATTGTGTCTCTGTTTATATATATGGATGGCTTCATGAACGAATCTTGGTTGCGGCTCTGCGATCTCCCATTAACATGCTGATATCTCTTTAACATGCTAATTTTCACCTGGCAGCCCTTTGATTGGTGGAAAACGAACCACCGCCGGGCTCGCTGCCGAACACTTACATTATCATTGGCTGCTGACATTTGGGCTACCCATTTCAAACCTTTATAAATAGTTTCCCTTGGAAGCTAACCCCCCTTTTCTTAAAGACAACGCTTGTGTTGCGATCGAAACGTGGTAGTTTTCTGTTATTTTTGATTATTTAAGTTATCTGAAGTTAATACGGGAAAACGCAAAGGCTAGTTTCTTTATAATTACGTAGGAGTCACAGTAAATTGTAACACAACTATAATCCACGCTCAGTTATCTCTTATGTGGAGTGCACAGTATCAGTTTGCCTCGTAGGTCATTGTTTTGACTGTTTTCAATGCCAATTTGTTACCGTTTTAGCAGGAAGACTCAGTTGAGCACATTGTAAATGAAGCAAAAATAGAGTGTCACCATTTAACTCTGTGAAGCAAGGGTCACCTGTGAATTTGTTATGTACAGTACATTTTTTACGGAGTGGGTGCTGACCAGGTATTGATTAATCTGTGCCTGAATACGCTGCAATGGCATTTTAAGTGCCCTTGGGCTGGATGGCTGGTTTTATGGCATCTTTGTTCGACACAATAGAGGGTTTGACGAGCTCTGGGGAATGATAACATCACAGTAATATGACATCGGGGTGTGTACAGTATGTGGCAGTCTCAAAAGCAACTGCTTTATCCAAAGATAAAAGAGCATGCAGCATTTTTAAATGCCTCTTCACAGGTACAAGCTTTTGCGAGATGTCGATTGGCCTATGAATGGATGCCACTTCATAGGCAGTGCAAGTCATTAGCCTAACGAGAGTGTGCTTAGGTTCTGTGGTTGTTAATTTTAAGTGCTTTTGTATATCTTCTTGGTTCTTTCGGTAAAGTCACGTATAATGGAAATAAAATAATAAAAATAAAACGTAATTAAATAAAATTCTCACGACGTTTCGGCCACAACACAAGTAGCCTTGTTCAGGTGAAGAAACAGGTCTGACTTTAAATCGAAATTTAACTGCTTTTGTACAGTTTCGGTGTTTATAAATATATTTTTAATTTATGCTCTGGTCACTTCATCAATTCAAATGCCTTTGCATAGCTTACAAAGGCTAGGCATATGGTATCTATTCGATCTCACCCCTATATGCTAATTGAGAGTATGCGTGTGGTGAATGGTAGAGAACCCTTACCTAAACATGTGTTTATTTGGCATCTACATTTTAAGAGTACATCAGATAGAGTTTACCAGCTAACAGTACTTGTCTCCGAACCACTCCCAAGTTACAGATACAGGAGAACTCCAAAAACCTGCGGTGAATGGGCTGGACCTCGCTGTGCACCCTTTAATCCGCAACACGGCGCAACATTTTCTCCAAAAATCACCCCATCGCTGTGCCTCATAAAGTTTAAGTGGAATTAGCCGCCTATGATCCACATAAAACTCTCAGATTTCAGGATTACCGGCCCCACGGATTACGAGAGTTGCTTTGGACAGCAGGGGTGCCACGACATTTAGGACTCGCGCATTATTGATTTTTGAAGTTCTACTGTAATTCAAAATATGCTCCAACATCGAGCCACTAAGATGAAGTAAACCAAATGGATGGAGAACGTAACTTAACTTTCAAATGAGGGAGAAACACATTATAGCATCATGATGGGTGACTAATGCTATCATATGCACCGGGTGTAGAGATGAGAGGGTGATTGGTAAGTTTGGCATTGAAGTGATAAATGAAGGAGAACATCTATTAGAATTTTCAGACTTGTGAAAATGCAGTAATTTAAATAATTTTTCAAAAGTTGGAAAATGAATATGTAGGAACCCAAATAGTGAAATTAGAAAAAAAATTGACAGTTATATTTTAGTAGTTGTAAAACGTATCGTATTTTTAAAAATGTAATATCTGTCTTCATTCATAATCGTTTGGGTTTAATTTCGTAAGCACAGTGCTAACGCCATCTCACCACACAAAAAACTACGTAGGAAATCTGCTGCCGCGTATCATTTCTTAATAACGTGGTAAAATTCATATTAATTTCAATTAATTTTACTTTCGACCCAACATACATGCACACCTTTTTCAATGAAAATCTGATTAAACAAAAACTTGACCCACTTGTCATTAATTTTGCACATTGATTATTTTATAATTTTCACTTTTGCAGTTTGGGCTTGGAGATGTTACCCGATGTCTAAATTAGGCAAACGATGCGGAAGGGTCTGTAGCATTGCTATTAAAGTTATCTATTGTTTTGTAACCGTCTGCAGTGGGGTCAGTATAATAATTAAAATTTCAATTGTGTCTAAAATTGGCCCTGTGGTGAATATCAATGACTGGAATCTAAGACCATAAATATTCACTGCATATGTCAGAAGGTCTTTAATACAAAATCGCTCATTACTCCATTATTACAACCTCTTTAAAAAGATGATAGGATTATTTGAATGTAAATCTTAATATTTTAATATCTATATGGCACTTCAATTAATTACTTTAAAGGGGCTCATTAAGGATTCAAATAGAATGTCATTACAAACTATTGAAGCTATAATATTTACATTTCTATGTTACAATTCAAAGTTGCATGAATGGTGTTGTAATTATATATTTATATACACATATAGATGACACATTTTGTTCTGTATGTATGTTGAACATCTCTGAACTCCAAATGATCCAAGATTCTCCTGCCAGACTCCTCATCCACACCTGTAAACTTGACCACTTCCCCTAGTACTCCTGTTACTCCAATGGCTTCCAATCTAATCCAGTGTTAATATAATGATCATACTCTCAATCTGCAAGATTGATTGTGGACTTTCTCCTTCCTACCTCTCCCCTCATTTCACTCTACTCCACGCTGTTTTTTTTACAGTGTCTCAATATGTGGTCGCATTAAAAGCCACAGCCAAATGATATTGTATTTTACTCCTGTAAGTGCTTAGAGTTTGATAGAGATTTATACATTTTACTTGCTTCTAGTCTTTATGTAAAATAACATTTATCCGAAATGGAAGCAAGTACTGTTGATAAACTCAACAATACACTCTGTTCATGATGACAAGATCTGTTTTAGCAGTAACTGAAGGGCCACAGGGGCTTCACTAGTATATTGATACGAGTGAAATAATATTTTCCTGTCTCAATCCTTCGCTGGATTAAAGCCACCCCATGCCTTGTTGGTCATGGAGGTTGTTTGAGCATACGTCACCACAATGGTCAGTGTGGGTTGGTAAAGTTGGAGGCCCAGCACTGGTACAGGTATCATTCGCCACTGATGTTAGCCATGACATGGAATCAAACTCAGGATGCTGGTTTCATAGCCCAGTGTGCTAACCACGGTGAAACTGCATTCACTTTTAATGTTTGGAATCCTCGTGTAAACAAGGGAAATCTGTACAATCTTTGACGCTTTTGTGTTCTCCGATTGCATCCTCTGGGCAAAGGACCTGAAGGATGAGAAGCAGAAGGCACGCATGGCTGCGGGCCGTGCGGTTCTGGAGAAATGCACAATGATGCTGCTCACGGCCTCCAAGGTGTGTGAGCGAGCCCTGTTTTAGAGCTCACATGAGTACAGTTGCACTTCTTCGGACACACGACTAGCTGTTTGAAATGCTGAAGAAAGTCAAAAGTCAGAAATCCTCCCTCAAACATTGCGTTGAGTCGTGCTCATCTCTGCTGGTATTCCTGATCCTCCAGTGTAAATTCCACATTTCTTTTGCGGGAACAAATCTACCACTGAGAGCCACTGGATATCATTTCCACTGAATAGTATGTATGTGTTTATAATTTAAAAAAATACACACACGAAGGAATGTGGTACCAGCATGCACGGTGTTTAAATATTACACCAAGTATGCAGTGTCTGAAACTGTACGGTGCTGATTTATGTGCGTGTCAGAGTTATGCACTCTGTTACATTTCAACGGGAAAGGAAAAGACAGGTTCCACGGGTATTAATGGGGAGCTTTCACTGACCCTTTAAAAGAATGTTACATTTATATGAAATAACAGTTTATATTAAGCAACAAAAAAATGTCTCTATTCTCGTCCGCCTTGGGCATTCCTCTCAGACATGCCTGCGGCACCCCGACTGCGAGTCTGCGCGCGCGAATCGCGATGGCGTGTTCGCACGCACACGGGCGGCCATGGAGCAGGTCGCCGACATCGTCACGGACGTCGCGGCCAACGGAGAGGCGAGCGTCAGGGCCCTGTGCATCTACTCGGCCATTCGTGACTTCAAGGTGAGGGCGGTCGGTTCTGCGATAGCCACCTCTGCGGCGTTCCGCTCCGTTCGTTATTTGTGCGTCATCCTCAAACCACACAGCAGGTTTGTTTAGCTTTTAATGGAAATGGACCGTGTTCGGGAACACTGGACGTGGGAGTGAATCGCTCCGATCATCATACCCCAGGCCACGCTGGCCCAACTGTCTTTTCAACAATGAAGAAATGTAAAATTAAATTTGGGGAAACAATGCATGCAGTTGATTACTATGACTGAAGTATTTGAATAGGGAATTTAATGAAGTGTTTATACTTTGAAAGTCTCATGGCAGACGAATTTTTGAAATCAGTGTTAATGGGGCACCAGCAGCAGGAAATATTCTTATGCCTGGATTCCTTTTTGTTAAACTTATCCCCCCAATGTTTTGTTCAAAATTGTATGTCAGCGTCGCGCAATGAGGGGCCATCCATTGAGTAGGTACGCAAAAATCTGTCAAAAATTTACCCCTCCCCCCCTCCCTGTACGCACGCGGACTTTTTACACCCCCCCCCACCTGCATACGTATACTTGACGCACCCCCCCCCCCCACCCCCCGAATCTTATAGAACGGCCGATATTTAATCCACGCAGGAACGATAAAGGATGAATAATATTAGCGTGTTTAAGGAAACAGGTAGTCCACCGCCGGACTATCTAACTCATATTCTTTGGGTCTTTCGGTAAAGCCACGTAGATAGGTTCAGAGGAAATAACAAAAAACTATGACGTTTCAATCGCAACACAAGCGGTCGTGATCAGGAAAAAGGGGTTAGCCTCTAAAGGCAAACTGTTTATAAAGGTTTAAAAATGGGCGTAGCCCAAGTGTCAGCAGCATGGGCGGGGTAGCTAATGTTAATGTAAGGGTAGTTGCTGCTAGAGGTGATGATAGTTGTTGGTAGTGATGGTGCTGGTGGTGGGCTTCCACCAATAAAGGGAGTGGGTAGTAATGGTCCTGGTGGTTGGCTTCCACCAATTAAAGGGCTGCTAGTGGTGATGGTAGTAGTGGGCAGTGATGGTGCTGGTGGTGGACTTCCACCAATTAAAGGCCTCCCAGGTCTAAAATGGAAACATTACAGCCAGTTATGACTAAAACTGGTTAATAATGTCCTTCCAGTGATTGCTGAGTTTGTACCCATCTTCTCGGTTGAAATTGTGTCTATGTCTGTAAATATGGATGGCTTCATTAATTAATCTTTGTTGATAGCCAGTGGGTTTACAAAGTACCTTCGTCTTAGAGAAATCAATTTCGTGTGATCCAACCGTATTAAAACAATGATCAGCCACGGCCGAGGTATTGGTCCTACCTTGTTTCAGATCTGCCTTATGTTCACGAACACGGTCCGAAACATGGCTAGCCAGTGAACTGAAACACGTACACCAAGCTCTCAAGAGGAATGGATATTCAGACTACACAATCCGGAAAGCAATCACCCCAACCGTTGGGAAAGAACCATCTGAGGACCCAATCAAAACCATCACCTTGCCATACATAGCAGGGGTCACCAAAAAGATGTCCAAAATCATGAGAAAACACAAGATCCAGGTTAGATTTAACACAGTACCTAAAATTCGTGATCTGATCCCATCTTGGAAGGATGTGATCCCTGACATGCAATACTCGGAGTCTACAAACTAAGCTATGTCTGCGGCAGTAGTTACATTGGGGAAACTAAGCGACATGTCTCGGACCGTGTTTGTGAACATAAGGCAGATCTGAAACGCGGTAGGACTAATACCTCGGCCGTGGCTGATAATTGTTTTAATGCAGTTGCCTCACACGAAATTGATTTCTCGAAGACGAAGGTACTTTGCAAACCCACTGGCTATCAACAAAGATTCGTCCACGAAGCCATCTATATATACAGACATAGACACAATTTCAACCAAGAAGATGGGTTTAAACCGCGGCAATCACTGGAAGGACGTTATCAACCAGTTTAAGTCATAACTGGCTGTAATGTTTCCATTTTAGACCTGGCAGCCCTTTTATTGGTGGAAGCCCACCCACCAGCACCATCACTACCAACAACTACCATGACCTCTAGCAGCAACTTCCCTTACATTAATATTAGCTACCCCGCCCATGCTGCTGACACTTGGGCTACGCCCATTTTTAAACCTTTATGAACAGTTTGCCTTTCAAGGCGAACCCCCTTTTCCCGATGATGACCGCTTGTGTTGAGATCGAAACGTCGTAGTTTTTTGTTATTTCCTTTGCATCTATCTACGTGGCTTGACCGAAAGTCCCAAAGAATATGAATTCCTGTAGTTACGAAAGCTTTAAGTTAAGATTTATCTAACTAATTTGAAGGCCAATGTAGACAAATTATTATCGAGGCTTCACCCCCCCCCCCACTTCCTATGCGTATTTACATTGTCAGTAAACCCCCCATATGCAAGTGTACGCATTTAGTTTAACCCCCCCTCTCCCCCCTCCATGCGTACGTACTAAATGGATGGCCCCTGAGATGACGCATCCATTCGGATCTCACACAGAGCAGTGCATCTCCTCGTGTTAGAGAATGGCCCATGCAACCAGATATCACGGAGCTACCTCTGAGATCTCTCCAAGTGACCTTTTGGCCCTACATCAGAGGGCAGAGCCCACCCGCTCAGCATACAGCAGTCATGTTTGTCACGTGGCAATAAAACTGATACATTCTCACAGCTGAAATTTTTCCAAATGATCCGCAGAACTTCATTTGACGTGATGGTTTTTCGTATTGTGCAGCCATTGGTGGCTGGGCTGAGACCACTGACTCAAGACACGCAAGCCTCGATTCTCGTGGCCATAACCCACACCGTCTGCCCTTCCTCTTTCCTACCCCGACGGCCCTCCAGGCTTTCCTACTTGAGGCTGGCTGTGCCGACGATGTGACTCCCCTGCTGCAGCTCATCGTGGAGCAGACGGAGGACTTCACGGACTCGCCATACACCAGCCATGAGCGGCGCGAGCGCATCCTGCAGATGGTGGCGCAGGCTCAACAGGAGACGTTCGCAATGATGTCGCTCTTCGCCAAGCAAGTGAGCCGCCCCTTGACCCCGTTGCGCCCCCACATGGCCTGCTGGCTGATGATATTGCCTGCTTAGTCACCGTGACGCTTTAGGAAGAAAAAAACCCCCATATGCACACACAGATTTTGCCTTCACGGAGATCACTTGCGATGTGCTATGCATTCTGATGGCAGGGACGTTGCTGCAGTTACGACACTGAATGGGAGCCGCGGTACATTATACTCCTGGCAGCGAAATGTGAGACCCTGTGGGATGATTTTTACCGTTTCCAATGCGGTATGTGCTGGACCAATCCCCAGACTCCTCTTAATGTCTGTGGGTAAAATGTATTGGAATTTGCAACGTTATTTATCACATGGCCATGGACAATGTGATAAAAAAACACACACGGAACGTGAAAATAATAGGAGCTATATTTATCTTTTAAGTCTCTGTAAACAATTTGCAGGTATAGTCACTCAATCAGATGCAGGACTCATGGGTCTGGAGTTGCTAATCCTGTAGATTAAGTCTTTAGTTTTTTTCCCAGCAAAATCCGACTATGTTAAATGCACTCGCTTTTATATTCCACTGGTGTTGCGTGTGATTCTAGTTGTTTGCAACAGGCCTGCTTGTTCCACGTCTCTTCTGTCCCGAAAGTTTCATGCTTTACTGGCACCGATGATAATCCTGATAATGACAGACACGATAGTAAAGTAGTTTAAGCTGATGAAGTGAAAGGTAATGTACAATATTTCAGTGTCAGTCGTAATTTTGACTTATCTCAGAGATCGAGATACTTCGTAGGTTAGGGGGCTATGAGGATGGTGTACAAATTACGGGGCACTGCAGTGGCGAAATGTTAACTTCCCTTGCCTGGTATACAGGAGATCGTGGGTTTGATCCCTACCCTGACGTATGTATATTTGAAGTTTACATGTTCTCCCCGTGGTCGCTTGGAGTTTACTTTCGATCCTCTGGTTCCCCCCCCCCCCCCCCACATTCAGAATCAACATGCGTTTAGGGTATTTGGCTGCTTACATTTCCACGTGATAAGTCACTTCGTTGGACAATCATTATTATTATTATTATTTTGCTTCTGAAAAAGAGCTGTAGAGCTCAGTGGGCCTTCCCTGGTAAAATAAAAAATAATTGTTTGGTTTACTTAAAAAATTAGTATCGCAACAACACCTAAACATTCTTTTAAACTATTATAACAATTATTAGCCATGATCCATCTACCGCTGGATGACGCCATCAGCATCCCTCACTATCTCACTCTGCAACGATTCATCCGTGCCACGCACAAGAGCTGATCTCATCAATCATCTCCATCGCTGTGCCCGAGCCCCGCTTTATTGTTCATGATTTGAATTTGTTCTCTGATACGTGTTCCTCTTTCTGTCCCTCAGTCATTCCAAGCACGTGGCTCTCACTGCTTCTGCGTGCACATTTCAGTTTTCGTTGCATTTCCGTGTTGTTTTTCATATTTCTGCTTCATATATAGCAGCTTTGTATGCAGTAATATGCAGATATTGAAAATGTTCTTTCGGGACATTGCTATGTTGCTTTTCATTATTTTACTCCTGGTCCACCATAAGTAATCGTCCTAGGTATATATATAGGTATATATATTTAAATGTTTTATCCAATTTTTTGCTCATTTGATCTTTAGCCCAACTTTGCAGGCTGATTTGTGTAGGGTTCTTAAATTATTTCCTATAGTTGATTACTATTGGTTGTTAAAATGATGGTGTCATAAGCAATTCTGAAAATGGTTCATATCCTAAAATATGTTTATGTATTCATTTATCCAATCAAATCCAATGTTCAGAAAACTATTATTACTCACGAATTTCTGAATTCGGGTTTGTCCACAACATGTAATGATTTTCAAAGAAATAGCATTACATTTATGAAATAAACCCATTGATGAACTCACAACATTCAGTGTTCACACACAAAGGCCCATTTATCCACGTAGTTATCAGTGTCTACTGTATTCTGCCTCAAAGGAGACAAAACAAATAGAGGCTTATTTGTAATGATCGCCGGTCCTTTTGTAAAAAAAAGAAATATGAAAAATTGCCTTGAGATGCCGGCCTCGTTTTGCTGAGGAACGCTCAGACCCTGATTTTATCCCTGCCTGTGCAGCTGCCAAGTATAATGCATGCCCACAGCTCGTGCAATAAAGCTTATGCCTGCTCAAGCAGCCGATGCGCCACAGCTCCGTTATTGCTGTGTGATGTCGGTTGATACGGAGAAAAAGCAATATCGCCGAGGGCTGGGAGTCTGCTATATCCTGCTTTGGGATATGTTTACTACATTAACAGATTTTTATAAATGTATTTGTTTGTTTTATAGGGACATCTGGCAAAAAGTTAATCTTCCTTTTATTTAAAGTAACACGTGACACATGCGCATTCTGCATGTTTGTCATACTTTATTTTGATGGGCTCGGGGGTGTTTTTATTGGATACATTTGTGAGTGTCATCGTCAAGGGGTCTATTTTGTGGCATTGTTGTGGTTTTAGACTGCCTATCGTGGCATGAAGTAGTGAGTGGTTTGCCACTGGATTCTGCATCAGAGGCTGGCTTGCAGCCAGTGCACATGTTTTTGCGGTTTTAAAAAGTCGACACAAAGATACCACAATTCCAGTAGTTGTTCTTCCTTAATCAACAGACCACATAATTCACGGAATTGTAATTTCTGTAGGAGTGGAGCCATGTGACAGAAGAGCAATGCAAATGAGCAATGACATAATTATTTAAATTGATCGTGACATGTGCTACATGCTAATGTTATTGCCGCATTAGGAAAAGGTTACGGGATTTATTTATGACAGGTTTAGGTTTCGCCTCACGTCTATCAATAAAAAAGATGTCGGTGTTATCATTCAAACGTGACTGGAGAATTAAAATATTTCTCGGTCGAGAAATGTAAATATTGCTCCATCTCCATTGATATTTTCCTTTCCAGTAGATTATCAAAGATCCCAGTAACTTACACAGCTCACTAGCGGTGTGCTCTGTCATGTTCGCGAATTTGATGAGTGTCACTGCTCATTCAGGATTTAGCATTTATAGCTTATTGACCAAACCAAGTGTCCTGTTGCTTCTGCATAATTTATATGCCATGACAGTGGGTGGCGATCCTCCAGACGAGTGTGACATTGCATGCTTATTTGTTCATTACGAAGCCAAAAGTGAGTGCGTGTGTGTGTGTGTCTCTGCCTTTAGGTATTGTCGTGTTGCGTTTTGGTCTATTTATTTAGCAGGTGAATTAAATCTGTTACGCGGAATGTATTTCTGCCCGTGTTGCATAGGACTCTGTCGTGATGTGGCGTTGTGTCTGAAGCAGTGCAGGGGCCCTAGCGGGAGAGAGGAGCTGGATGCGGCCATATCCAGGACCTCCCAATGCATGGATGAAATAAGGAAGGAGGTGAGAAACTCCGCACGCGTCGCTCATCCCGCTGAAGGAGCATTCGTTTAAGCATTATACTCGGAGACATTTTTCCTCTCCGTAAAATAAGCATACGTTTTTGGGATCTGTACTCTTAAACTGTATTTGTTATCTGTAAAATGTCAAAGATGGTCCTTTGATGGAACATAAAAGGTGTATAAATAAATAATTGGTTGCTACATATACAGAGTTTACAGATTTTACATTCCAGTATCGAATTTCCAGAAAATGTAACGAGTATTTTGCTTGCAGTGGCAATGCGATGCTTTTGTTTGATGGGGGTAGGGTTTGTGACGGGCGCCCCTACACAGAGTCGTGTATCACTACCCCGTTGTCTCTGGTGGAATAGCTCATGACACATAGTGGCACAAAGGTGTGTCACAAATCTACGTGGAACGACATGGAAATTATGGGTCACCACATAACGACTTCACGTCACCGCAACCCTGCATTACGACCATTCGCTGCCAGTCATATCCCCTTTGTATGTGTGAATGCATGTCCAGTCTTGACACATCTTCATTTTCCCACCAACCCTACAAAGTTTTGTAATATTTGTGAAATTCGTTTTGTCATCAAACAGACTAAGCGCCAACATCCAGTCATAGCTGAGCATTGTGGATTGCGCATTTGAGAATTTAGACACTTTTTAACCTGTGTTTGATCGGCCCGGATAATGTTGCAGCAGGGTGATTTAAAATACTCGTGGTGGTCGACTCAGTTCATCGTCCCTTAGTTTTGATAAAATCGACACAGCTTTGTAGGAAATCAACAGTGGTTTACCTGTATAGAGCCGAATCCCTGTCATGAGAATGTGGAATTTCTACCACTGGCTTAAGACCATCGCCAGAGATTAACAGTTCCTGTTGTTGGATAAAATGTTTTTTTTTAGTTAGGTGGTGGAAAAAAATGTATGTCGTAAACCCTCTTCAACCCGACACAGCCAATTAATATAGCGTTACGTGAATCGAATGTGGCCAAATTTATTACTGCTTCAGCAGCACCACTGGTGGTGTTGTTGGAGAGTTATCTCACAACCTTTAAACGGGTGCGACGTTCCGCTGGAAACTACACCTGTCATCCTCAGATTGTTGACAGAAGGTCTGACCCCGAATCAAAGCCCTTCCTGATCCAGGTCCTTAAGTAGATGCCACGACGTCATTGGCACATTCATGCACGTGGTCTCATACATTCATTACAGTTGATTGCTAGTCGGTTGGTTGTGATTGTCACAGTGTTGATTGTTTTGTCATTCTCTCGCCGCCTTCTAGCTGCACGTAACAGCCGTTGAAGTGGCCGCTGAGAGTCTCCGTGCAAACGGTGATCACGCACTGCTCCGAGCCCTCAAGACGGCTGGCGCCGATGGAAACCTGGAGCTGACATCAGAGTTTGCGGCTCGGTTGCATGAGCTGCGAGAGCAGCTCTTGGAGGTTTGAGCATGGAATGCATACGCTCGTTCACCCACCTGCACTGGCAGGCCATCGCGTGTTTGCTCTATTATGCCTGGTGGATGACCCTGTACACACGTACACATACACATGCACACACGGGCTCACTTGGGTCAACTGGCTAGTTATGCTCCATACACTTGTACCCACGCATTCCCGCACACACTCACGGACACCCAACATGCGCTCATTAATTCTCAGTGAAATAATTAAAACTGACAACCATGCATTCCTTCTTACATCCCTGATATATACATTCATGAGCCATTCATATAGAGCTTCATTCAGTCACAAAGGAGCCACATTTTTGACATGTTAATGTATGATATTTAAAGCTGCAACAATGTTTTTGAACCGTGCATGCAAATGCAAAATAATTTGGCTAATTGCTTTTTGGTTATGTGCGTTGTGCATAACAACGTTTTTAAAACTCCCATCCATCTTTCAGACATCGCAACTTCTAAGGCATGTGTCTGGCATGGAGCCACTGGAGATCACGTGTGCACATGCCGAGAATACCTTCCGTGCCATCGGACCACAGGTATGAATCAAGATCAATCCCGACAAAATGAACGCCTAGGTTTGACCAGCATGTTTGGTCAAGTTGGCATGCGTTCTTGAAGTCCACCGTTGAAATGAATTACTTCTCTGCATGTGGCCATTGTTTACGCAGTTGATCGAATGGAGACTAGAAGCAGGCAGCTGTATACAAAATCAAAGAGAGTGTTTTTGCCCTGGAGCTCTGGGAGATCAGCCAGTTCTCTCCCATGTGCGGTTTGTGATGTTACACTCTATTTGTAACAGTTGGAATGGCAGCCACACGTGTGTGTACTTGTCAATTTCACAGATTTACTTCTGTTTTCTGCTCAAGGTGAGGCTCACATGTATTAATGAAGAGCCTTGCCATGCAGCCTCCATCGCCACTGGGATGCTTGATTTACTGTTGCGGGATATCAAACGGTCAATTCTCATAGCCTGAAAGCCGTCAGCTCACAGATCCAGATGAGTGAAACAGTGTAAATAAGTGATAATGCACACTCATCCACAACATCTTACGAGCTAACTGTTGTACGTGGGAAATCTCATAACGAGAGAAATATATCTTTTTCTCAATTTGCAGGAATATTTATTGCCCTTTGTTTACCTTTCCAATGATTTTAAAGGTCACCGGATTGTATTGACTTATTAGCCGTAATATAAAGGCGATATCGAATCAGGAAGAGCTGTTTGCCAGGCAGAAACATGAATTGGGCACAACATTAGTCAGGAATCCAGGTGTGAGTAGTTGCGTTGTTTTCATCAAAATTATACTCTCATTTCATTGACCCTCGAAATATGATGGGCTGAGTCAACCCCAGAAAGGATTTGAACTCACAACCTTCTGATGCGATTTGGGAGTTCCAACCACCGTGCCACCTGGATTATTTGTGTAAAGCTCCATGTTAAGTATTTCCAGCAATGACATTGGTGAGCAAATATGCATGAATTAAAACAAAACCATGATCACATTTTGTCATCCATAAAATTTTTGTATATTCCATCCCTCTGCCTCAAGTCTGTATAGGATCCAGAGATTCCTTCATATATTGAGTTCCGCCGTTGAGCTCTTAGCTGCCTGTTGTGCTTAAAACCAACAGAGACCCATCTTGCATTTTGCCCCAGAGTGACCGGCATCACTCCAATGCATTCCATTGTTCAATGACTGCGGTTGATGTGTTCTCGATATGTATTCGTATCATGTTGTGTATTATACTACAAAGCAAACATGTATTGCTTATTGAAAGTGTGTGCTTAGAATGATGCATGCACTGTTGCATATTTCATGTGCACCCACTTGTGTCTACTCAAATCAGTTTTTTTCCTTGTGAAGAAATTGGATTGTTTTGATTTTGATCTCGCATTTTGGCAAATTTTTATATGTGTGTGCAGTTGCGTGTGTAAACACTGTACATGTGTTTGCCTCCAAGACATGCTTGTACATGCATGTTTGTTCTTGACAGTGTGTATGGTTATACAGTGAATGTGTATGTGAAAGTAATCTTGGCTGTTTTACCCGTGATGTGCTGTCTCCCACACAAGGAGGCTCGTGTCTCCTTAGTAAGGTTGAAGGACATGCAGTTGCTTCTACCGTAACCAGTAAATACGTTTTTTAAACTGTCTTAGTTGTTGTAACAGGGTGTATGCGTGTTCCCGTGTGTGTACGTTAAAGGTACATTTTACTCTTTGCACTTTCCTCACTTCTCGCCGTAAATTAAATTCTAAAACAGCATGGACCTTTGTAACCCTAGACCTACTTAATGTGGAATTGGCTTTTTATGAACCAAGGTCAGCAGAGCTTATATCTACAGCGTCTATCGACTACAGCATTAGGTCGTTTTACGCGTTCTTCTCTGCCAATATTTGTCAAATCGTGAATGGAACGATACATAACAATGTGAAGCCATTGTAACGATATTGTAAATTTAATAATGTCATATCAAAGTTCAGACTCTGATTGAATTGTACGGCCGTTTTAGACTAATCGGGATGGTCGTACGGCTGTGAGCGATCGTGGCTATTTGGGAAAAAGCTTGATGCTCATAGGATCGGATTTATACTTCTTGCCTTTGGTGCATTTGGTTTTAATAATGTATCCAATTGTAAGAATATTTCCATGGCATCTTTCACTGTTATATGTGCCCGGTCATTGTGGCTGTGGTTATTATAATAGTTGATGTCTCGTCTATATTAGTGGATGTAGTTTTTTTCTTGTACGGCATCTAGAGATGCTCCATGTAGTCCAAAGTCTTCTTATTAATCTGCTTTAAAAACATTTGTGTAAGGTATATACACATATATATAGAGAGAGAGGCAACTGTTTTACTGTACTTGGTGAGATTGTTGGTACGTGTCTCTATACATAAAAAGATCACCGGTAAAAGACGATAGCTTTTTTACTCAACTTGCATTCTTTTTCCCTCACATCGTTTCCCATAATTTCCTTCCTCTTTGCCGATAAAACAATTTACTTGCATTTATGTTGCAGTGAGACGCCCAAGCGTGGTAGACCTTGCTTTTTGTGCAGCACAATGAGGTAGTGCCATGTAGGTGGGCCCTGTAGACGGATGCACAGCAATAAGAGTTCACCGTGCTCGTGAATACGCTGTGCGTGACCAACTGCTGTCTGCTGACTGCCTCCCCCTGTTCAAGTCCAAGCTTTAATACTATACTCCTTCCCTCTGCTTATAGCTGACCGATTCTCTCAATCCCCTGCTCTCGTTCTTAAGTCAACGCAACGATGTCGTCTTCATTTCCTCCCCACCTCATACACTTTGCCTCATACCCAAAATAAGGTGTTCTTCTTGTAAAGCTAGGAGGGAAAAATCGTGCACATGCATTGCTTCTGTAACACTACCCAACATGCATTTGCCCTCGGAAATTTTCATTAGCAATAATTAGGTTTCGAGTTGCATAATGAGACGTTACACAGCGCATGACGGGTGACATCACGAGATGCTGTCCTATGTAATGGTGTCATCATCACGAGGTGGGGTGAGAGGCGAGGATGCCTCACGCAGCTATGTGAAAACGCCATTGTGAATCATTTTCATGCTGCGTTTGTCTTCTAGAGTTTTGGGCAACAACACTAACGTTTCGTAAATATATATCGGGTGTGTTTATGAGAGTTGTTGTGCCCTCTTCTTTTTAACAGACAGATGAACAGTTAGACGAACAGAGCTAATACATGTATCACTTCAACCTTAAAATGGAAAAAAATCCCTCATCTTTCTTGGACTATAACTCCTTCCTCGCAATCACTAGTGATTCAACCGTCTCGCTGCTGTGTTTGGTGCCATAAGATACCGTAGTTTACAGACGCTCAAGACATCTGCCTCGAATTATATTTTTGATGTTTCGTTTTTGTAGATTATCTCAGCCGCACAGACGCTGGCTCTCCATCCGTCCAGTAAGATCGCACGGGAGAACCTCGACGTTTTCTGTGAGTCCTGGGAGTCTCAGCTGACTGACTTGGCAGTCCTCATCAAGGAGATCACAGATGTCTTTGAGGGACGGAGAGGTGAGACCAACATATGCCCTATCCATTACCACTGGGTCTCCCGGTTGCGCTGTTCACATTTCTGACGTGTTTTCATATTGTACCACGTTATGTTGTTCAGCATGATGTTCGACATTTTGCTGCATTTTGCTGGGAGTTTCCTGAAGTTTCCGACATACGCTTAAAGCACGTGGAGCGCATTGGCGGATGTCGCACCGCACAAGATGCTAGGCTGTCCAGGCCCCATGAGCCCTCCCATCTTGCCTGAATACCACACTGGAATTGGCATCAGCCATACGTTTCAATGGCAATCCCGACGATTCTGAATAGCTGATGAGCATGGTTGGCTATGTACGGTGTGAAAGAAGTTCAACATGCGTATCGATCAGAATCGCCATTGAAACATGTTATTTACAGAGGTATCGGCCATGTGTTTCAATGACAATTCTACGAGGCCAGCCAGATCTTAAGTTATAATTCCAGGCTTGGAATTTTAAGAACTGCCCAGCTCTAGCAACGATATATTTAAATTGCGTTTTATGTTAATGACTTGTTAATGTGACATTTAATGAAAGCAAGTCAATATTTCATATTTGTTGTTTTGATTTAAAGCTTTCGTGACAGCAGGGATTCATATTCTTGGTTCTTTCGGTAAAGTCACGTAGAAGGGAAACAATAAAATTAAAAATATATATAAATGTTATTTTATTGTTTCCCTTGTATGTGACTTTATCGAAAGAACCAAGAATATTTGTTGTTTTGTTTGCTTTTAACATTTTTTAAATAAATGACTCCATACCCTCTTCTGTACTTTCATTATAAACATTTGAAATGACAATAAAACCTGAAATGTGAGCACTTACCACGCACTTACCACTCACTGCACAGTTTAAGTGATTGTGATGAATAGCTGACAAAAATGGTGGTTAGTATCTTGGACAGAGCAATTGATGTCCTGTTATGGGTTATGCTTGTTGTCCTGCTGGGAAATGCCATAAATGCAAAAGACAATTTAGCAGCTCAGTAGTGGAACTGTCCTCTGAGATCCACCACCCGACTTCACTTCCATTACCGTACAGACTCACGCAACTACAGCAGAGGTCTCCAACATTAATTTCTACAGTTTTAAATACTACACAATAAGTAATGTGAGTTTTAAATACTATTAATATCATTAACGCAGGCTACCAATCTTCCAACACTTCTGAAACAGATGTTACTAAACACCTTAATGAGGAATTCCTGGGTAAATGGTCTTTATGGATGATTTTTATTCAATTATTTTTATTTGTACCCTTCATCAATAATCGTCTATTGTTGAGGTATGAATTAAATATAATTTTTACGCATTGGAAAGTACACGGCATATTAATGAATTATATAATGCTGTTTATATAAAATGGCGGTACTGTAGTGTCATTGTGAATACTTATGCGTTGGGTAGCGCTGCAAGCATTGGCTATTAACATTTGAAGATGACATGACTTGCCCAAGGGGCGTCTGGAAACAAGTTTAAAGGACTGGGATTTTCCTCTGCAGTCGTTGTTCCTTGGGCTGTGTCCCAGCTGTTGGGCCCCCCCACTGACTGCGCATTGCAATGTCTTGTCTCTTCCTTTCGTGTCATTGTAACCTTGAGTCGATCCGCTTGATAAGACGGTGGGAATCCAAATAGATGCCATGGCACTCACTCCTGACCCAAGGGCCTCCATCACAAATGACCTTATCCTGTTGTCCGCCTGACACCACGGCTCAGGGCTGTTTGTGTGCCTGCCTGCCTTTTCAGAGGCTGTCACTCCAGCCTTGTCGACCCTCGCTTGGGAGTAAACAGTTGGGCCATACGGATCGCGTGTTGTGCATATCACACACGAGCATTGAATACAGTTTATTTTCAAGACGTTAAATATGGTTTAACACAAAATTGTAAATATGGCGTTGTATTCTGTTCCATGGTATGATATGAATACAAGTTCCAATGTACTGCATATGTATGTATTACATATGTAATAAATGTTTTTTTTTGAGATCATCAACAGAGGACATGCAGGAGAACTGCCTTTCAATTAAGTTGTGCAAAGTGGCATTATTTAAGTGGTATGACCGTGGTGCTTCTGCTTTAAGTGGTACAACTTTGTGAAAGTACCAGATGCTTCAATTCCTATTAAAAATGCTCTCGAGTGAAGCAGCACGAAGAGCCCACAGTGCACATTAAACCAAGCTGGTGCTTTCACAGTCCGTGTAATGGCACATGATTGACGTATCATGCCCTGCTCGGTGATTTTTTTGCACTGTTCTCCATTGCATCTGTCAGCCAGCTTGACACTAAAACTCGTCTAGCATCAGAGGGACACGGAACCGCACAGTTAGTGAAACATCCAGTGTCGTGGTGTTTTTAATTTTTTAGTGAAGCTATCAACTGAGCCAGTTGTTTTTGATACATCCGCAGTGACTTCTCTCTCTCCAGTGAGTGTTCACCCTCCACCCACCCAAAATAAAAACAATTATCAAAATAAATCTGATTATCCTCATGGGCAAATATTTCAGATGAAAAAAACAATGCTGTAAAAATGACACAAATGCATCCTTGAGGACATTTGAGGCCGATTCCATGACACGCACCAGCTTCACATAGCTCATAATTAACAATTTGATATAAGCCTCATTGCGCCGTGGTGGCATTCATCTCGGAAGGTTTGCGCAAAGATAAAAGGATGCTCCTTTATCTTCCGCAAATTTCCGCATTCATTATGGGGCCCTTTTCCTAACGCGGCCCGCTATCGTCGTCATATTGATCGGTGGCGCCCGCCACCGCCGCCTTCAGAACTGGAGATCCCTGGCCGTAATTGCCTCACTGTACGAGCCGTGTCCCCGTGTACGTCTCGTTCCCGGCCCCTCGTTACCCGCTTTTGAAACTCCAAACGGAAGGAGGGCATCCCGACTCGTGCAGGTGTCCGTCCGAGCGCAGTGGGAGCGTTCTAAAAGGAGACGGTGGCCTGTGTAAGAGACGGAGCACTTATAAAAGGTGCTGGCAAACAGCACTTGTCCCAACAGTCTGTTCAGGCTGTGCGGGGGGGGGGGGGGGGTGGGTTTTTTTTGCACATACAAAGACAACGAGGCGTACGGTTAAAGAGCGTTCACAACATACTGCTACAAAATGTGCATTCAAAATACTTTTTTGTGTACATTAACCTGTAAATTGGATACCCTGACATTCAACAACATTTTCTGTTCATGTTAATGTGCACTCAAGCTTAGCCTTTTAGTGGCACGTTCATGATTATGTGTAGCGCCTTACATTTGTATTCTGATGCGGGGGGGGGGGGGATGAAAACATCCATTGTTTCACAATTTGGAGAAAATATCAGAGCAATTTTCCTTGCTTAAGTGGGCATCGCCCAGCTGTGTAATATTACATGGCAAAATAAATTAGCCACCTAGCTGCTCTACGTAATTTAACAAGTGTGTTGGAAATACTACTGTGCTTACATTTTACCATATTTAATGGCAGATTTGCACATGGACATGCTGTTGCATTGTTATGCATGCTCATTTAATAGATTCATGATTTATATGAAATGGTCCGCTTTGTGAAAGTGATTGCTTAATTAGACTACGCGAATCTCCCTGCAATGTTTCACTTAAAACCTAACGAGTGTTGATTTCATTCAGGTGACAAACGGACACACCTGTCACTACCAAGGCCAGGGGTGAGTTTTGTTGACGTGTTTTTCTTTCACTCCTTTCCGCTTCACCTGTGCAAATACATCCATTTAATTTCATTGTGAATAGCCAATCCATAAGCAAAATATACATTGCAGCATTTTTTTGCTTCCCTTTTGTTTCTGCATTCGTTTTTATTATGCTTCGTTAAAATTGAAATGTTGAGCAATTCCACATATGAGCGCACAAAAGCCCCGAGCAGTGTCCACGTGACATGTCGCTGGCGTCATTAGCTCATTACTCGCACTCTCTGTAAACTCACGCCGTCCCCCTCATTTCTCTCATGAAGCAATTCTTCGCTGACCTGTTCTGAATTGGAGACTTATTTCTCAAAAGCCAGATGGCACTCTGGCTGGACCCACAGTGCCCCTGCCTAGCTCTACTACCCTCCACGCATCCCCTACCTCAACATTCACTCAGTGAGAGGTCACCTTTTCGGCTCTGCTGCCCCATAATCTGGAATTCTCTTTCCTCAGTCGTATGTGCTGTCCATTCCCTGAACCTGTTAAAGTTCAGGCAAAAGACTTTCTGCTTTTCCTCTTCCTTTGACTGTCTCATACTCTATATAAAATAACCTAACAATGTCCATGTTCTGCGACTGTCCTCTGTGGCATCTTGAGATACAGTTTTATTTATATATATGAGACCAAATTGTATTGTAATGGAATCATAATAATAACCTCTCTTTTTATAAAGCGCCTTTCATATTGAAGTATATCAAAGCGCTGTACATAAAAATAAAACTACACTCACAAGTATACATACAATCAAAGTGAAATCAAAAGTTGGTAATATCAATGACTACTCTCGAAATTCCAATACAATGAAGAACTTTGATAAAAAGCGAATAATAATTACAGAGTAATCCAAGCAGAAACAACCACAGTGTTTTTTTTTCATTTTAAGTTTCAAGGAAATCCTGTACAAATATGTGAGTTGTAAGACATGATTCCTAATGGACCGAGGAAGGGTATTCCACAATCTGGCTGCAGAAGGCTCTATCTCCCATAAGATGGTCTTGTCTATGGAATGATGAGTCGACCAGAATCAGCTGATTGTAGAGAGACATAATCCCAATACAAGATGGTTGCGAGTGAACATCCCAGTTGCAGGGTGGACTCAGCCCTTCATTCCTCTCTGTGGTAACTTTGTGTGGGAATTCAATAGTGTTTGTCCTATGGTGCGACTGGTATTCACCATAGGAATATGGAATATCCATCACTGGTTCAGGGCCATATTTGGGGATGAGCAATATCTAATGCACATTTGATGGGGAAATACTTTGACTTTTTTGACGTGACTCTGCTTATAATGTGTTACTGTTTATGGCTTTGTGATAGATGTTGAATTCGTCACAGTTCCCCTAACCCAGGGGTCTGCAACCAAAATAATAAGAAGAGCCTTTTTAAAAATTCGGTAAAAAAACTAAATTTGATCAAGAACCACAACGCAATGTGAATACTAGATGGTGGTTCCTTAACAAATAACATCACAAAGCGGTCCTTAAAAAGTCGCATTAGGCTCCGGAGCCACAGTTTGCCGACCCCTGCCCTGACCCCTGACACTACGACCTCACTGTCACAAACGAAATGAGAGACCTCTTTTGAAGTGCTGATATCTTTACGTGTCCGATTCTAGAAACACAGCTCAAACCTCAAGCCAGTCAAGCCAGTGAAGCTGGATGCAGAGGTATTTTTACTCCTACTTTGAAAATGCAATGCTGCACACATTTTTTGTTTCATACAAAAACTGAATAGTCCACGTGAGCGTGCCGAGGGTTGAATGCCTGGGATTACATTTAAAGACAAGTTTGTGTTGTAATTCAAACTGTTCGTAAAGTGGGCTTGCCAAAAGGGATGATGACAAGAAAAATTAGTGTACAGGGAGGGGCGCCGCAGTGGCGAGATATTAACTACCTCACGTGGTATGCAGGAGGTTGTGGGTTCGATCCCGACCCTGACGCCTGTATGTTGGAGTTTGCATGTTCTCCCCTTGGACGTGTGAATTTTTCTCCGGGTCCTCTGGTTTTTACTTCCACATTTCGAATAGTGCGTTTAGAGTATTTGGCTGCGATACATTTCCACATGATAAGCCACTTCGTTGAGCTATTATTTGTGGCCAGGTCGCTTCTGAAAAAGAGCTATATAGCTGAGTGGGCTTTACCTGGTAAAATAAAAAAAATGTTTAGTTTATAGTAATATCACAACATTCAAATTGGTGTAATGTTTAATGTAAAATAGGTTTTAGTGGCAGCCATGGCACAGAAGGTGTCCGAGGACGTCTACCAGAGGAGATGGAGCGATGCAATCAGTGCGTGTGTCAAGTGGATGATTACAAGACAGTGGGGAGCGTGGTGCAGCAGTTAGCACGTTGCAATACAAACCGGCGACCTGAGTTCGATTCCCGCTCACGGCCAACACCAGTGACAATTATCTGAACCGGTCTTGGGCCTCCACTGGGTCGAATTAGCCTCAAATGAGTACCTGGTGCGGTGTGTAAATGTCACCACTCGGGGGACTAAGGCGTGGTGCTGGCCACCCACCCCCTCGTGTACCGTGCCGGCCTTCATAGGTACACGCTAACAGCACTTGCCCCAATAGTCTGTTCAGGCTATACGGGGGATCTTTGTCTTTATTACAAGGCAGGATCATGAGAGATGACAGCGGCTTGGGGAGGCCTTCATGCAGCAGTGGATTGACCAAGGCTGCTGATGATTGCTGTACATTGAAGTCTGATCTACACACATTGTCATACTGGCAATATACACACATAACACACAAACTGATACTGAGCTAACAAATGTATATCGTTATGAGACCTCCTTTGCCAGTACCAAAATATGAGAATAGGTTTTCCCCTTTTTTCTGGCAACAAAGCAGTTGTGTTAAGACGTTAAAACACCAAACTGAAACCTTTTACAAGGAATCATGTCTGCATTGACCACAATACTCGTGGTTAGAATTCAAACAAAAAAACATACTCTGATAATATATGCATTGTCTTTGAAACTGATTGGCCCACACCAGAGACATCTTTCTTTTGAGCCTCGTCTCAAAACGGTGTTAGACCAGAGGACGCCAAAAGAGACGAGGCTCCAAAGAAAGCCGTCTCTGGTGTGGGCCAATCAGTTTCAAAGACAATGCATATATTATCAGAGTGTGTTTTTTGTTTGCATTCTAACCACGAGTATTGTGGTTAATGCAGACATGATTCCTTGTAAAAGGTTTCAGTTTGGTGTTTTAACATCTTAACACCTGTTTTGTTGCCAGAAAAAAAGGGGGAAACCCTATTCTCAAATGTATATCGTTTATAACTGAGAGAATGTTATCATAGGTTTGCAGAATTGTGGCTGTACAGGCATGGTATACTAGATACCAGCATGTTCATGTTTGTTGCTGTTGCTTTTTGTCGGGGCACTGTAGGGTCACATACGTCGTTTCAAAACACCGAGTAAATGACACCATTACATAACAATTCCTGCGCGTTATACTGCGACAGAATAAACGGCACGTTGTGTGTAATGAACGCACAAACTTGTGCAGAAAAACATGGAAAACTGAACACCAAGACCCCACCAGCTGCTGAGTGCTGGCAACGACCAGATACCACTGGCACAGTGCTCACCATCATATCTCCCGTAACGTGCTTGCAGCACAAATCCCATCCTGCGTCTGTAATTCGCTTGTCCAGGTACATTGTAAGCGATTTTCACCGGTAGATTAGTGAGGAATAAAGCAAAGCAGGTGTGTCTCTGCATGTCGTTTTATACCGTTAGAATGATCAAGGTGGAGAAGGGGGGGATCGCGTTGGCTGGTTTGCAAAGTACTGTAGCTTGCTCACATTGGAAAGAGCGTCTGCAAACCAAATGGCATTATGTCGAAGCGCGATAGAGTGCCTGCCGGCTTACCTGCTTTGTGCGTATTTAAATATCCCACGGCACCTCCGCAAGGTTAGGTAATTGTTTGCAGGCATTCAAGTATAAGAACGCAAACAACAATTATATAACGTTTATAGCAGAGTTCATAGTAGGAGTTAGACACTCGCATGATAGATTTTTTTTTCCTATCACACTTTTTTTTCATACAAGAATGCTGACATTTGGATGAAAGCAGTTTGGAGTTTGGCCTTCTGGCATGAGTCCAATGTGTTTCTTCAACTGCAGACAGCTGTTTTTGCCCTAACCTTTCTGTGACGTTATTTTCCCTCTGCACAGACTGAAATTACACTGAATTCCCTATCTTAAAAAAAGTGCAGTCATCTAGATTCTAAAGACAACCATCCCAATGGATGCTTTTATGAAATTGGCTTTCCACGCATTTACTAATTTCTCCCTTGAAAAAGAGGCACGGTTATCTGAGTGTGCTCCAAAGGATATCAATTCATCTTTATTGGGGGTTTTTTGTACAAATTTAGCCAGGGGCCAGTAGAAAAGGAATCTGTGGCCTCGGAAGTCTCCTTCCAGGGGGAGGTTGGAGCACATATACAAATGAGGACTTTTGGCTCACTCTATAGTTTAAAAACTTTGCAGACACGTGGAAGAGTTATCATGGTTATCATCATTACCATATAGCAATTATATTATTTAATCAGGGAACGCTCAAGGCTATTACTGCAGGAAGATCCTGCACAGGAATGTTTGGCATGTGGTGAGAAACCGGAGTAATGTATACAGAAAAAAAACCCATACATACAATGACGAAACACTCAACACTGTCATCTGTTGGTCACCTTGCAGCCTTAGGTCTACAACACCTGGAAAGCCTTGGTGGTCACCCATCCAAGTAATCATTAGGCTCAAGCCCTGCTTAGCTTCTGGGATCCAACAACATTAAGGCAATTTGGTCACAGGCTTGATAATTCACAACAGGCAATGTGGGTATCAGGTTGTGTACCGTGTCTTACGTGGCATACTGTGCAACGTTTCACTGCACACTGGGATCATCTACAGGAACTGCATTTAACCAAATCACCCTGCATCTTCCCAATAACGTCGACGCTCAGAAGCTATGAGTAAAGCTAGGCAGGGTTATTATTCAGTCCTGAAGGAGCTCCCGGCATGTGGAGTGAAACGTTAAACACGCCAAACAGCGGATGGTACAGCCCTAAACACAAGTGAGTGCTGTATTGGCACAACCGCGAAAACCTTAGGCAGTGGTAACACGGATTTTGATTTTCCACCTCCAAACCTCTGTGTGCATGCAGGAGCAAGTGAAGATCGCCAAGCTGGGCCTCGAGCTGCGTCTGCTCACGGCAGACGTCGACGCGGAGACAGAGAAGCTGAGCAGCCGTGATGGTGGTGGCGAGGTTACCCAGCTTGTCCAGAGCTTGTCCTCCATGGTCTACGCAATCTACCTCTTCACCAGGTGAGGCGCCTCAGACTCTCGCAGAGAACGCCGATTCGTCATGTGCATCGAATCAAATCACCTGGAATGCAACAGATCTCGTGAGATCTGTAGAAGCAAAGCAGGGTTGAGCCTGGATAGTGCACGGATGGGTGACCCTTGGGCACACCAGATTGTTGTAGGTGTCTATCGGGCTGTGCTGAGTTGTGGGCAACAGAGGGCAGTGCAGTAGTAGTCATGGTCGCCCTATTCTTCCTTGCAGCGTGGTGAAGAACGGTCGAATAACACCCACGACCCACATGGTGAGGAGAAGCATGCCTTGAGCCAGCAGTTTTCACAAAAGGGCTCTACAATGTACTTTTTTTCCCATTGGCCGCTCTTTAAATGGCTTCCAGTGGAAACTTTAATGAACTATAGATGTTAATGAAATATGGCAAAACATTTTATTTTCATGCAGGAAAACGGAAAGAATGGCAGGTTATATAATTAACCAGAATCCTAAATAATGGTAAATTAGTGTTTTTTATGGTTGTGTCGTAGTGTTAAAATTTGTTTTATTGTTGTGAAAAAGCTCAGGTTTTTAGAACTTTATAAGTAACTTATTTGCATTCCCCACAGATATTAATCTTTTGTGATTAAACTCTGCAATAGAGGCAATAGGCTTGGTAAAGCAATGCTTAAAGCTTCACTCAAAAGTGTCTGTGTCACCTCGCCACACAAACCATGGAGATAATGAGATGATGATGCGGTTCAGTTTTATCTGAAATGACCTGCAGGATGGTAATTAGCTTGCACTGCCTTTGGCATAATTCATTCCAAGAACACATGGTGAAACTTAATCAGGGATCAATAAATGAAGGGAAATCTATCCCTTTGGCAAGTCCGGAATGAATCATGGGAAAGCATATTATGCTCTTGTTGCAGTCCTGATAAATTCGCTTATTTGGCAATGAATATTAAATGTACTTTTACCATTATTTTTTGTAAAAACATGTATTGTATATTATGAAACACTGGGGAACCAAAGGTGCTGTATGTTTTGGTGATAATGTATTGAGCAATAAAGCACTGCTTGCGATTGCACAAACCTTTCTTGCAATGGGGAAAAACGAGATTGAGGACATCGCTAAAATAAAGCATATATCACGGCTTGGACCACGATACATTATAGAAACTTCGCATTCTATTTGTCACTAAAAAGGCACACAGTGCACCATAATATAACCCTGGCTAAAACATCACTTTAAATTGATACTCTTAATGATGAATTTTTTATCAGTTACAAAGTCTTTTTTTTCAGAAGGGTGCAGTTGTTTGGTTGTACGCGTTGGAGCTTTTTTAATAATTAAATAGTAATATAAGTGTATTGATGGCGGGACTGGATATTAAATCACGAGCTACCCGACAGAGCAGTTCAGATCTTACAGTAAGTCTAGGGCTCCCCCTTGTGGTCTTACTCTCAAGGATATTTTTTATTCGAGAAATCACGCAGCAGTTTGCTGCATAAACACCAACACCTATCCAACAGTTGTAAACAAACAATGGCAATTGAATTTAATAACAAGATTACGAACCTTTTTATATTACTTTCAGCCGTATAAAATGGGTGCGCCACAGTTAGTGAAGGTTGTGTTTGATGGGGTAAAGTGTGGATACTCCTGTGGCTTCCAAGACTTCTGTCCAGCATGAAAGAGTCGGGCAAATGCCCTTTTAGAGGTGTCCATGAGAGCTCCCTTGAATGAAGGATCTTCCATCAGCAGCTTCTGTTGTCCTTCCCCCGCACCTCCGATGAGGACGATTGGCTACGTACAGTGCGAAAGAAGTTCAACATACATACAGCGGCCTAAGCAACTGTTTTGCCATATCAAGCAGCAAGGTCATACATTTTTAAAAATAAATAAAATACACAGGATGACGGTGTCTGTCACTGCCAGATGCACGTATAATCATCATCAGCCATATATCCATGATTGGATGGAGGCCATTCCATGTCGCCTCCATTCTTCCCCACACCCTTGGTATTCCCAACGTCCTGCTCATGCACATGAGTTGATCTCATAATCTCATCTCTATGGTGTCCGTCCTCTCAGGCGTATTCCCTCCTTTGACTGGCAAATCATCACAAATCTCATTCATCGGCCATCATCCCTTAAACATGTCTGTAATTGCATTTCGTCCATGATCCATGTATTCATCTTTCTGTCTCTGGGTGTTATTCCCAGAATGCACCCCTTCATGCATACTTTGGGATGAATAGTTCCTCTGGGAATGAAACATATAAATTTAGGTATGCACGTGTACTGACAAAATATTTCAAAACCGTTGTCAAACCACTGCTGGATGAGGACCTCCCTTTTCATATCAGTCATGGGGATTTGTTTGACCATACTTCACTCAGCTGGTCAGATACAATTGCAATGTTGTCTTTTCCGGGAAACGAACTCAGGTAGCTGAGTTGATAGTGCAGTACACTAACCACTGTATCACTGCATTCCCCCTCTGCTGCCCTCATCCACCAGATTCCACGTGAATGGGAGACTGTCTGGGATTGTAGGCTTGACTTGCATGGTGGCTAGTAATGGATAATTGATTCCAGCAATTATTTAGTCCATCAACATGCAGCTTTGAATGTTACCCTCTCGTAAGCATGATTTCTCCATTTTGTACAATTGCAAGGCACTCCTGAAAAAGAACCTTGAAACTCACTGACTTTCCTGTGAAAATAAAGGTAATTATTATGATGTTGTTTGAAATCAGATTCTCGAAAAACCAATTAATTTCAATAACCATTGTGCCAATACTTATAAAGAATAAAATCAATTTACAAACATGTAATGGCCACGCTAATATTATATTAAGAACATGCCAACATACACATTGAAAGGGGGGCAAACTAACACGCATTCTCTAAAGTTATTTATAGAGACATTAGAAGATGTTTTCTGAACACTGGATTGGAGAAACAAAGGCATAAAGATTAATGGCGAATACATTAACCATCTCAGATTTCCTACTGACATTGTGATTATAGCATCTACTAGAAATGAACTATAGGAAATTATTTAAGAACCTCACAAAGAAGGCTACAAAGTTGGACCAAGGCTCAAATGAGCAAAACAAACATCATCTAGGTGAAGCACAGTAAATAAATTTTAATATTTGCTGGAGACATTCATATATTTGTCACAACTGGGAAAAAAACGTCAGAAGATGTGTACCTTGGACAGTTACTGACAGTGGACCTGGAAAAAAACGTCAGAAGATGTGTACCTTGGACAGTTACTGACAGTGGACCTGGAGTAAAAAAAATCATGAAGTAAAAAGACGGCCGAGAGCAGGTTAGAGTACTTTTGGAAAAAACTGAACTTGACATGGAAAATTAACATAGCACTGTATCTAAAGAAGATTTTTTTTAAATGTTTATTAGTGCATACTACCTGCAATGATATATGGTTCAGAAACATGATAATTAATGGAAATTTTAGAACAAAAATGTAAAAGTGTGCAAAGAAGCATGGAGAGATGCGTGCTTGAATTGCATTGAAAGGCAGAAATAGGAACACGTTGGATTCGAGAATGCATGTATGTACTCTATACTCTTTGGTTCTTCCAGTAAAGTCACAAGTAGAAAATAAAATAAATCACGGCTATTCGGGCGCAACACAAGCGTCCGTCATCAGGTGGGACGCTTGTGTTTTGCGTCCGAAACGTCGTGATTTATTTTATTTTATACCTACGTATTTATTTCTACCTACGTGACTTTACCGAAAGAACCAAAGAGTATGGATTCCTGCAGTCTCGAAAGCTTCAAATCATGGTTATGTACTCTATGTTGAACTTATTTCGCGCCGTAGATAGCGAACTGTGCTAATCGGAGGTGCGAGGTTAATGCCATCATCCAAACTATTTCGGCTTTGGCAGATCAGTGAGCAGAACGGATGATGGCTTACGCTCAAGAACAATAACTGAGTGACAGCTAAAGAATGATACAGATCTCAACAATGTACCTCGTACCTCGTACATTGTTGAAGAATGAAACAGGTCCAAGAGGACATTCACCTAGGAGATGGAGTGTGCAGGTGCTGGATGGACTGCTACATCATCGGAGGCTTGGGAAAGCCTTCATCCAGCAGTGTACAGACCATGGCCGATTCTCTATACCTACACATGGCGATATACTCTATGCCAATTTCGAGGTAGTTTTGCTATTCCTATATTGAAGGAGCACAGGCTATAGTGGTTTACTATATAGTTCATAGTGTGGGTTGCATGGCCACAATTTCACTGTGGCTTCTCTTTAACTTTATATTAATGAAGGAAATGTGCACATCGATCTGTTGATGTTTTGATGCGGTTGATGGTTACACCAGGGTCTTGGAGGAATGTCAAAGTTGATGGTTACACCAGGGTCTTGGAGGAGTGTCAAAGCCTGGCAGTGCAATGTGTGGGTCTTGAATGAGGTGTAAATTCTGGACATCCACATTGAGACTTGATGAGGCAACGAGGTACATTGTCGAGATCTTGGTTGATGGGTTGGTTTATCGTTGGACCATGGGGGCTGGTGATGATGATAGATAAAAGGTAAGGAGGTGTCTCCACACTCACACGAGAACGTGAGCCAGCACTCACCTCTGTTGGTGTCCCTTTGGCAGGGTCTAGTCTCGCAGTAGAATAGGGCTATATATCTTAACACTGTCTTCATCGTCACCCACTTCAGGTATTTTGTGCAAATGTTCATAGCAGCTAGCGTTGCTGACAATCCATGAAAAGGCATGGTACAGTACAAGTGTTTATTTTTGGGGTGTACCACGTGAAGGTTGCAGCTGATAAGTCGAACGTTCTTCACTTCCACTGAGCATACACACAATTGCTTTTCATTTTAAAATCCAACAACTGTTCAATGTACTTCAATCACAAACCATTCCCTCTAACAATGTGTCCTTTTAGAGCTGAATTTTAGAAAATGTAACAAACCTGCACAATTTTCAGGGCTTTTTATGTTCAGTCGTTATCACCGAGTC